AGTGGTGGTGGTGGTGGTGGTGGTATTATTATTATTATTATTATTATTATTATTATTATTATTATTATTATTATTATTAAATTTGTACACTGCCCAACTTCATTTTAAATTGCTAGGCCTATTTCAGAACTTATTTACTGGCACGATTCCTTCCTTCCATATACAGGTATTCCTTGCTTAATGACCGCTTGTTCAGTGACCAGTCAATGTTACGACAGTGCTGAACAAATGGTACTTACGCCCGGTCCTCGAAATTCCGGCCACTGCAGCACCCCTGAGGTCATGGGTGCTTGGCAGCCTGCCTACATTTACAACCGCAGGGTGCACTTCAACTCCCCCCACCCAACTATCTCCCCCATCTCTACCCCTCGCCCTCCACCACCCTGCCATCCTGCCCCCCCGACTGCCCCACCTGACCTTTCTTCCTCCTGCTGCTGACGAGGTGCACCTGGCTGAGGCAGCTGCTGGCTGCTGGTGTTGGGAAGGCCTCCTTCGGCCAGCAGCTGCCTCACAAAGGGCCAGGCCGGGCGCGCCTTGTCAGCAGTGGGAGGAAGAAGTCGGCAAAGGTCAGGTGGGGGCAGCGGAGTGCAGGGGGGAGTGCAGGGCAGAGATGGGGGGGAGACAGGTGGGTGGGGGGAGGTGAAGCGGAGGTGAGTGTGGCAGGGCAGGAGAAGTGTGAAGTCCTGGCCTAACAGCTACAACTGGGACTACTGGAACTGCTGTTGCTAAGTGATGCGGTCATATGATGTTTCGCCTAATGACCACTTTGCTTAGTGACAGAAATTCCAGTCCCAATTAGGGTCGTAACCCGAGGACTACCTGGAACCAGTGTCTTTGCCTCCCTTTTTTTTCCTAGTCAAGCTCATCAGGTAATGACAGAGAGATCATTTCGCAGAATGTCTACTAGAGCTTAGCACTCTCCACTAAAAGCATTCACTTGGATCTCAGAAAAAGGCAGTTGAGATGCCCCCAACTAAAATTTCCCAAGGACCCCACCAATATGGAAGGCATCAAGCAAGCTCCATTGTGAAGTCTTCTCCACTCACACCTGCTTCTTCCAAATAAGTTTTAACGTAAAGAAAGAAGGCAGTAGGCCTGCACAGGGTGGAAGGTGAGTTGGTGAAGAAATGCTTGCTGCCTCCTCTACCTCTGAAGGTGTCACTACGAAAATTATGGTCAGGCATTTATTAACTGATGAGCAGGGGTGCAGGACCTGGCTGACTGCTCACGGGACAGAGGTACTCATCCAATCAAACAGCAATTCTAAGAAAGATAGCAAGAATTTAAGACCTTAAGAACGACTGCTCAACAAGATGTGAAAAATAATTGGTCAACCTGTTGTGAAATGATGTGGTAAACTGCTTCCAAGTTCAGTAAGTTCTTGAAGAAGCTGCAAAACATAAGGCATTTTTTTCATGATCCAGATTGCTATACTTTACACATTCCATCTCAAACCATACATCCTCAGCTAAAGTACATTTTATTTGGGTGCAAACTGCAATACATTCTTCAAGGTATTTCAGAAACACAGATTTTTGGTTTTGCTCTTCCTCTCCCCCTCGCGTGTCATTACGCTTTTGTGCAGTACAGTAAAAAGGGAATGTCTTACCCACCAAGAAGAAACAATTTCACATTAAAGACACTGAGTTACAGACTACCTTCTCACCCCTTCAAGATAATCAGAGCAGATGTGGACAGTTAACAATGGCTGAATTGCACCTTATTCAGAAAATGCTGCTATTAGGGCTGCTAAAAATAAATGTTTTAAAAAATCAGGGCTGGCTAATCTTAGAAAACTTGGTTTTGCATCGCTTTGTAAACTAAGCTTCATGAATCAGTTGAAATGCTCTAGAGCGGTGTTTCTCAACCTTGGCAACTATAAGATGGGTGGACTTCAACTCCCAGAATTCATATTGGCTTGCAAACATTGCCCACGAGACCTAATGTGATCATCGGTACGGACTCTATGCAATTCTGGGAGTTGATGTCCACCCATCTTAAAGTTGCCAAGGTTGAGAAACACCGCTCCAGATAGTTGCACATTCTGGACTATCTTCTCCCTTTAAACAGCACTAGCAAAATCACCTAATTCTAGAATTGCCTTTTTATTCCTTAGTTACAAAGGCTAACATAAGAAGCTACAGAAGAGGAGAGAGAATAGAAGGCATGGAGTCTGAGACATACCTCCCCTGTGGGAAAATACAAAATGTCGGTGTATTGGCCTGAATCTGAAAGCACGACATCCAAAACATTAAAAAAATTGGGAGTGCCATTAGAAGCTCCCACCCTGGAATAGAGCATCTGCCATTATTTCCAATTGGCTTGCAAACACTGCCCACGAGACCTAATGTGATCATCGGTACAGACTCTATGCAAAAAGAAATTCCATCCACTCCACGTGAACATGGAATGGAAAGGACAGCCAGAAGCTAAAATTTAAAACAAATTTCTGTATGTTCCCGAGGCAAATATTCCCCAAACTGGCATTGGTGAAACCAGGGAAAAGCGAAAGGAGCCTTAAGGAAATTCAAAAGCCCTGCCTATTCCGAATATGAATCCAATTTGGAATTCCCCTTCGCCTCTTTTGAACTGCTGCTAAAGGGGACTAGACCCCCCCATCTATCAAGCATCAGTCCCAGTTTGGTCACTTGAACCATTTCAATTTCAAATTGAACAGGAAGGTGGAGAATGAATGAATGAATGAAATGAATATCAGTGCTTCTAAGCCAGAGGGAGAAGAGCTCATGGAATGTGGGATAGGGAGGCAGTGAATTCATTCTCTTATTCACATGGTACTTATGTGCAAAATTTAGACTTTCCCCAGCTCCTCGTTTCTGACAGTGAACAAGGACATGAAGCTCTTCCAGTTTTGCAAACTGAAGCTATGTTCAGTCATGGCTCTGGAAATCTAGGATGGAGAAACCCTGAAGTTGTGGAGGTTGCAATCAACTGGAGTCAGTATAAACCTTGAGACAGAATCTCCCCAAAAACAGAAGCATCTTTAAAAAGATGGCTAAGATAGATCAGTTTATAAAGCATAACAATTGTTTTTAACTGCAGAAGTTTGCAAACTTGACCAGAGAAACCAGACTTGGAAAATCAAAGCATGACTCTCCAATCCTGCCGCTCTGAGTCATTAAAAAAAAAAAAAGACAATTAACACTAATAGTATCAAAGTAAAGATAAACAGTCTCATCTCACGCTGGAAATCATTCCAATAGATCACCGATGCTCCTTAATTTAGATCTCTTTGTAGGTGGAGGTGAAAATAAATCACCCAAGGTTTTTTGCTCACCGCTCCAGGTACAATACAGTTGGGATCCATAACAGAGAAGACCAAATTTGTTCCAACTCCACAGTGTCAAAGCAAATTTCTCCTTAGTGAATCCGAGCTGTTCACATAAAAGGACCACATTCTGAGTTACAGGAATTAAAAAAGTCCTCAAATAAAAATAAAATTGTCAAAGGTGGAAGAGAACGTAATCATCTAATACATTACATTTGCGCATCACTTTAAGCCAGGAATCCTAGTTTTATAAAACCACAATGTGAAGAATGTTATGCTGCTGCACGTAGCTTTTATCCACTCATTGTGATTTTTGGTTTATTCAGTGTTCGGTAAAACAATTTCTCTCTAGGCGCTGGACAAATTAAAATTAAAAAAAAAAATCAAGACTTTGCAACATAAAAACACCAAACATACACATATACCAGCATAATGTTTAATATATGGCATGACTTAGAAAAACTAATTAAAGAAGAATTGGAGTTGGCACTGTATCATGGGGATTAAAAATCAGCTAAGGACAGACATAGATTCCAGGCACAATGAAGATATCAAATCCTAAGGCAGTGTTTCTCAACCTTGGCAGCTTTAAGGTGAATGGACTTCACTCCCAGAATTCTGGGAGTTGAAGTCCACTCATCTTAAGTTGCCAAGGTTGAGAAGCACTGTCCTAAGTGGATCTTTGGAAATGCATCTTCATTTAGCCTCCTTCAAACTTTCTAGTGAGGAAGCTCTTGCAGGAAGACAAAGAAAAATCAAATTAGCAAATAGTTAGGAATATATGGAAGGAAACATTTTTTCAAGTTCCAAAGTTCAGAAAACAGGACTTTATAATCCAAAACAGAACTCTGAATTGGGCCTTGAAAACAATTATAAACCAGCACAGTATGAACATATGCCTTGCCCTAATTTTGTGGTAATTTGCAGTAGACCAAACTTTGATTCTTACATCCAAAGAACTCAAACTTGATGAGGCACACTGAAGCTGGCTTATTTGGTTGCAATAAACCATATTGCAAGGTTGAAATATTTCAAAAGCTTTCCACACATTGTGTGGTTCTGACTCACACAAGCTAAGTCACAAAGAAGGAGGAAAAATGGGCTGCATGTATAATTGTGGTTTCTTAAGTCAGGATTCTTGCTTAAAGTGATGCACAAACCTGTTGGCCTCAAACTAACAAACAGGCTGATTCAGAGAAAAAGGCAAGTTGACTTACGGTTGGGAGAAACTAGAGCAAATAAAATCCCTTTATAAAAAGTCATTCCCTTTTAGAGAAGCAAATATTCTACTGGAATCTAACAGTAGATTAGATTGTGATTCCACAACCCTTCGTAAAAGATCCTGTTCTTCAGACCTTAATTAAAATGGATCCAAAGAAGATAGGATATTCCTACCAGGGTTGAAGGAAAAGAAATAATGGGAAATCAGGTTAAGCAATATTTCACAATACTGGAAGTTAGTATGGAGCACAGAGGCTGAACGCAGTTTCCCAATTCACCCAGCTACTCATTTGACATGATGAAAGCCTCCCAAGGGCACCATAAGGTGGTCATAAATCATGGTTCTACTTGACAAAGTGGGCCAGTGTGTGAGCTCATTAGCAAGAAGAGAGGTTTCTTCTGAGGCTCTTGCTCCTTAAATTCATAAATTACCAGACAATTATGGCAGGATATCAATTCACTTTACAAGAAGAGTGGTTAGTATTAGTTCCATAGTTGCCTGAAGAAAAATTAAAGGCTCCACAGCAAATCAAGTGAAGCTACTTCTAACCTGCCAGGGCAGAAGTCCACCCTGGTTCCTTCTTCCTCAAAGGAGGAAAAAATGGCAGGTAATAAGAGCATGGGAGCTGAGATTCCTGTTTTGAAGGGAGGCTGAAGGAGATCCAATCCCCACAACATCTATAATCTTTAATATTCTAATCTGATCCTCATCCACAATCCTGTGAGTCCTAATGGAATACTTGACTGCAGGATTGGACTCTCTGGGAGAAAAATAGCTGCCTTGGGAATTTAATTTACAATGGGCCTCAACCACATCTGGATGAGGGCCAGCTACTGAGATAGTTGTTGGAGAAAACTGAGAGTTGTTTCAGCCTGCCTTATACTCTATGGCCCCAATCCTCTGATCATGAATGATTTATCAGAATATTTTGACCCTTTATGAAAATTCTCTTTAAGGTTATTACATGTATCGTTGGTATATATCACCAGAGAAATTGTCTAGAATGTATAAAGGTACCTCAAATCTATGCTGGAAATGTGAATAACAAGAAGAGACATTTTATCATGTTTGGTGGATATGTAAAAAAGCTAGAAAATTCTGGATTCAGATATACACACTGATTCAGAGGATTTTAAAGATTAATATACCGTTGAGACCAGAGCTTTTTCTTTTGGGATTGATGGACAAACAGCTGAAAAAAAGTCATGGAACTTTGTTTTTGTACATGATAACTGCAGTGAGATTATTGTATGTACAAAGATGGAAAGATTTGGCAATACCTACGATGGAGGAACGGTTGGTGAAGATGATGGAACTTGCTGAGATGGCTAAATTGACTTCTTTGATCAGAGAAAAGACAACATATATGTTTATTGCTAACTGGAAACTCCTTATGGACTTTTTGCATAAAACAAAAAAAATGAATTTATGATTTATGGTTTTGATGATTAGATAGGATAGAGTACAGAAAGAAAGAAGTTATGTTGTAACCAGAGAGTAAGAGGTAAATTTATAATTGTACTTATAACTGCTGTAAAGAAGATTGGAAGCTACTTCTTTCTATTTCTTTTCATTCTTTCTTTTTGCACTTTTGACTTTTTTTGTTTGTTTTCTTTTTTCTTTACAGAGTAAGAGGTAAATTTATAATTGTACTTATAACTGCTGAGTAAAGAAAAAAGAAAACAAACAAAAAAAGTCAAAAGTGCAAAAAGAAAGAATGAAAAGAAATAGAAAGAAGTAGCTTCCAATCTTCTTTACAGCAGTTATAAGTACAATTATAAGAGTAAGAGGTAAATTTATAATTGTACTTATAACTGCTGTAAAGAAGATTGGAAGCTACTTCTTTCTATTTCTTTTCATTCTTTCTTTTTGCACTTTTGGC